AGATGAGATTCTGCCGAAACGTTGCTACAACTTTAAAAGCACAACTATAATGACATGGGAAAATACCTGAACAAAGCTGAATACCAGATATATAGATACCCGCGAACTCTGGAGTGGACGGGATTGTAATTAAGGCTTATTTTGGGAGTAGGGCTTATATTGGGCACACGTGTAAAAAAAATCAAATTAGGACTTACTTTCAGGGTAAGATATTTATTTTTTTGTCTTCCAGGTGTGGTCTATACCATGATCCGGGATTACGTCTGGAAACCTCAGTTGAAGTCTTCGGAAAACCGTTGAAGCTCTCCCACTCCTTCGCTACCGTAGGAATAGTTTTCTACCCATAACTGGTTGCGGCGAAGGAACAAAAAAAAAAAACCCACAAATTTAATTCTAATTTTATACCTCTTCCACACACGCAACCTTCCCTGCGGCCAGAATTCCTTTCGGGCGTCCCCTCAAAAAAATCCCTTATTTTCTATTTTATTTTTCTCAAGACCCCGAACTGAGCTTTTTTTCCTTCTCCGCCGCACTCCTCTAGGCACTAGGCGAGACTGAGGCAACTCCAGATTTTTCTCTTTTCACAGACAACCTTTTGGAGGAAAAAAAAAAATCAAATTGTGACACTCTCTACCCTGTGTATTTTCTTCCCCAAAAATCGAGGTTGTTTTTCCCGGCTTCCTTCAGAAATGAATTTACATTCATTTTACATCAGAAATGAAATCCTCAATCCGCCAACGTGGGGGTGGGTGGGTGGGGGGTTATTGCTTTCTAAATCCATTTTTGGGGAAGATTATGATGAGTTTTGGTGTTTTTATTTGTCGCTTGAGATCCTGTTGCCATCCTGTTAAATGTGCTTTTTGAGGGAGGGGGGAAACACTGGTGCCCATGCACACCAGAAAAACCACAATTATGTGACTGAAAGAAATGAAGGGAGCATTCTAACACTTCAGCTGTCGATCAAGCTACTCACAATTGTATTTATTGCACCTTATTAAAACCGTAGATGTTTAAATTATTTAGCCCAAAATAATATGTGACCTTAATATTTTTATTTGTACGTCGTGCACAAGTGTGTGTGTGTGTGTGTATATGTGTAAAAATGGGCTATTTTCCCCCCCCACACACACACACAAGTTTTAAAAACTAAAATAGCAGAGACAATGTTGCCGTTTTTATTGTGGGTCCCGCAAGCAGAAAAACTTTCTTGCAATGCACAACAAAAAAAGTGTTACACAAAGTCACGACCGCCGTTGTATTCCATCTGTAACTTTGAGGATTCTCCCCCCGCCCCATATGTACATGTTTCTTTATGGGTTTTTTTGGTGCAGGTGACGTTTGACGCAGAAGAACGACAGGAAAATTGTGTTACACTTCAGTTGTGCATCCTGCATTTGTGCCCCTTTCTCCATTTCTGCCTGGGAAGGGATTGTGAGCCAGGCACGACGGGATACACAAATTCCTATCCTACAGAGAGTCCTTGAGTTACGACCGTCCTCGAGTCTGCCAATTCCAGTCGTAACTCAAGCGGGTCAGGCACAACAGGCAACTGTTGTCATACACCTAGTCCTCAAGGTAATGACCATCACCGAGTCGGGATTCCCATCGTAGCTTGTCTTTCAAAGGATCCTTAGAAAACTTGCCCCGATTTCACCTTATTGTGTGTGGTGGTCGTTGAGTGAACCGCATTGTTAAGCGAACCCACATTTTTGGGAGGGTGGGGGGACTGGATTCACTTTTCTTTCTTCATTTTCAATTTTTAAAATTGGACGTCAATGGCACCTTCGTGAGGGGAAAAAATCCCCATATATCGCAAAGCACTTGAGTGCAGTAAGGACAGTCAGTGTAACTGCGAGGTGCTTTGGGCTGGGAACTGTCATAAGCCGAGGACTTCCCACCTGGGGTTTGGATGGCTCCTTTAGGAAATATTCTATGTCTGGGCTGTGCGTTCTACTATCTGATAATCTTCAAATATTACCCCAAAAATCATTTTGTAAAAAAAAATCCCATTTCAGGCTGCTGCTTGTGGCATCCTGAGTTCAAATCCTGATGCCAAAGCCCTGATTTTTGATTAGAATGGTGTACGGGACTCACCTGGCTTGTGTTGTTTTGTGCCTTTGTGCCATCCTTGGGTGCGAGTTTCTGCTTTTTTAACACAAGTCCTTGACTTAACAGTCAGAATGGATCCAGACATATTTCTCACTAAGCGAGACAAGTAAGTTTTGGGCCCTTTTTTTTTGAGATTTCTTGCCACTGTTGTTAAGTGAATCGCCGCAGCGTTAAAAGTGCATCGGAAGGTTGCAAAAGGATCAGTTACTCCCTCTCAGGCCACCTGCAACCGTCATAAACACATGTCAGCTTGCCTAAGCCTGTGCATTTCCTTCACGTGGCCCTGAGGAAGGCTGCAAAACGGTCGTAAGCGTGAGAAATGGTCAAAAGCTCCAGTTTTTAGCGCCCTGGTAACTCGGAACAGTCACTAAACGATTACTTGTATCATCCCAGACAAATGGGTTTTCTCAAAAAAAAAAAAAAATTCAAGGAGAGTCCACAAATGTGGAATTGTAAAGAAATGATAAAATATTTTGGTGTTGTGTGTTTTTTTTTTTTTTGACAAACTCAAGATTTATTGCTTCACGATGACAAACTTTATAATTCGCCAATTTGAATGTTCGTGGACTTCAACTCCCAGGATTCCTCAGTCCGCCATGTTGACTGGGGAATTCTGGAAGTTGAAGTCTACCAGCTTTTCAAAGCAGCCAGCTTTGTCTCACAAACTAACCACTTTTTAGCTTCCACCAAGAAACACGGTGTCAGCCTCAAAATATATTCACCCCTAACTATCAAGATATCTTCACCCCTAATTATTGCTTATTTGTTGCTATGCTTTTTTCCTCTCTTTCGGCTGTCATGAAACGGTGGGAGGGGGGAATCTTGGAAGGGAAGAAGGCAGGAGGTGTTTTGCATTCCTTTGCTGGGTTAAGAAAGGGAGGGGGATTCTTTGTTTTAACTTTCCATTTCTTCGCTAGCCTCTGTCCTTTTTTCTGCGCAGCTGCGAACTTTTATCAAAATATGTCAAGGTCACTGACAGTAGCCTCATCATCACCTGGAGATGACCACATGATCCTATTCAGAAGTTTTAATTGGAAGAATCATTTGATCTTTGGAGGGGGGGGGGAGCAATTCTATCCCTTTGTATATGCATTTTACCCGCCAATATCTCAGTTTCGGAATTGATTCTGTTGCTACCATTCAATTTCCAGTAAAAGAATAATTCTGCTCTACACCATGGAGTCTGAGTATTTCTTTCTTGGGATTTAGAAGGAGCACAGTCTGACACACGGTCAACTTGGTTAGTTTGATAAGGTCTTAAGGGTTCATGGGAATCGAACCAGTGATCGGTTTTTCGAAGCAGGGTTTGCGGTGGTTTCCTGGTCAAAAATGGCCGGAAGGGAGTCCTGGCGCTGGGGACAACAATGGAAGGAAGGAAAATTTGTGATCACCTGCACAAAATGAGATGAAGACGTCAAATCCCCCCCCCTTTTGTCTGGCGGACAAACCATGAATGATAGGCAGTAGAACGGAAGGTTTGTAGCTCGGGATGGAAATGTGGGGTCCTTGGTGCCCTCTGAGCTGGATGGTTTTCTTGCAGACATCTCATGACCCAACTAGGTAATGTCATCAGTGCTAAAAGGAGGAGGACTGGGGTCCTTGGTGCTCTCTGAGCTGGGTGGTTTTCTTGCAGACGTCTCGGGACCTAATTAGGGAATATTAGCAGGTCTGGAAGGAAGGAAGGATGAAAAGGGGAGGAAGGAAGGAGGGAAGGAGGGAAAGAAGAAAGGAAGGAAAAGGAAGGAAGGAGTGAGTGAGTGAGTGGGACCTTGAGCTGGGTGGTTTTCTTGCAGACATCTCGTGACCCAACTAGGGAATGTTGTTGGAGCTGGAAGGAGGGAAGAAAGGAGTGGGACCTCTGAGCTGGATGGTTTCCTTGCAGACATCTCATGACCCAACTAGGTAATGTCATCAGTGGTAGGAGGATTAGAGTTTCCAGAGAAAGGAGGAGGAAGATCAATGGTGGGATTCAGCCGGTTCGCACTGGTTCGGTAGAACCAGTTCCTATATTTTTGTGGAATTTGGCGAACTGACTGAATTGCGTGACTTGCCACGCCTGGCCCCACTTTGCCCCCTCCCCTCTCACCCAGCGAGCGGCCAGGTGAGGTATGGAGGCGAGGCACCTCTCGATATGAATGATGTTGAGTTGGCCACACCCACCCAGTCACATGACCACCCAGCCACGCCTACACAGCCACTCATTGGGTACAGGGAACCGGTAAATTATTTGAATCCCACCACTGAGGGAAACTGTGGGATCTTTCTGTGCTTGGTTGTTTCTTGCAGACATCTCATGACCCAACTAGGGAACATCATCAGTGTTAGAAGGGAGGGAGGAGGAGACAAGGAGAGGCGGATAGGGAAAGGGAGAAGGAGAAAGAGAAGAAAGAGAGAGGAAGAGGAGGAAATAAGAAAGATGGAGGAGGAGGAAGAGCAGAAGGAGAAATGTTGGGTCCTTGGTGCTCTCTGACTGCTGGTGTTCTTGTAGACATTTCCTGACCCAACTAGGGAACATCATCAGTGCTAGAAGGGAGGAGGGTTTATTGGGAGGAGGAGGAAGGGGAGGAGGAAGGAGGAAAAAGAGAAGGAGGAGGAGGAAGAGTAGGGGTGGAGGAGAAGGAAGAGAAAGAAGAGGAGGAGTAAAAGAGGGAAGGAGGGAGGGAGGAGGAGGAGGAGGAGGAGGAGGAAGGGAGGAGGACAAGGAGGAGAAAGGAGAAGAGGGATGGAAGGAGGGAGGAGGAGGAGGAAGAGCAGGAGAAAAGAGAGGGAGGGGGGAAGAAAGGAGGAGGAGAAAGAGAAGGAGAAAGAGGAAGGGAGGAGGAGGAAGACAAAACCATAGAGTAACAAAATTGGAAGAGACCTTGAAGGTCATCCAGTCCAACCCCCTGCTCAAGCAGGAGACCCTTACAGAAACATAGAGTAACAGAATTGGAAGGGTCCTTGGAGGTCATCTAGTCCAACCCCCCTGCTTAAGCAGGAGACCCTAGTACAACAAGGATCCAAAGTAACTGTTGTAATATATTAGACTATATTTTCTGATGGTTTTATCCTCCATCTGGCCAGCAGGTGGCTGTGTTGGACCACTTTCATCCATTTTGCTGGCTAAGGTTCTTAGGAGAAGATGGATGGCTTTCTCTCTTCCAGAAACATACATTTAAGTTAGGAAGACTTAAAATATATATTTAATATATCAACATTAAAATAGAATTCAAGGCATGACCTGGCCAGGACATTCAGTCTCTATTTTTTATAAGACTTTTTTTTCAGTGGAAAAAAAAGGAACTTTGGGTCAAATTTTGAAAATAGGGATTTTTTGGGGGGTGTTTTTCCCAAGCATCTTGGGCGATTGTAACCCAAGATTGTTAGTTTGTGCCACGATGCTGGTGTTCTAAATCATGGCAACTTAAGACCCGTGGACTTCAACTCCCAGAATTCCCCAGCTGGTCCCAGAATTCCACCAGTGAAAGTATACCAGCTGAGGAATTCTGGGAGC